AATAAATATCTCTATGTATGCCGATGATTTAGCGGCCCTGTGCAAATGTTTTCATGCTAAGCAAGGCGAACAATTGTTGCAAGTATTATGTGATCGTCTTTTCATCCAGTGTAAACGGTGGCGTTTAAAATCAGCTACTCAAAAACAGTGTCTCTATTTTTCTCGAAATGTCCACGTGATAAAAACTCTATTTTTCTATTCTATCTCTAAAAGAAGATGGACTGAAACAAGTGAAAACATTTAAATACCTGGATTTTATACTGGATCCGTCGCTGTCTTTTTGCGGTCACATTTGCGGTCACTATTTGTATTCGTACGCGGAAACGTATGGATGCCTTAAAATATGTGACAGACATTGAGGACTTCTCCCTCATACAGCTGTGTCGGTTTACTTTTCTTCGCCCTCTGTTAACGTACGCTGCTTCATGTCTCCTATGTATTTCTGCTTCTAGCTGGATTAAACTTCAACGGATACAAAACGTTAGGCTAAAAATCGCTTTACGTCTCCCACCATGTTTCTCCACTCATGAACCTCATAAGACCGCGTCTTGTGTTTTATTAACAGATTTATTTTGTTATGTGAAAGGGTTTCACGTTTTTTAGTAGATAATTTATTAAAAGATTCTAAAAACCTGAGTCCTAGTATAATAAACCCGAACGATTCTTTCAAGTATTAACAAAAATGTCCAAACACAGCAAATAAAACTTGAAACTTTTCTGCATGAAGCAAAGAGATAACCTTGCAGTTTAGTTAAGAAATGACGGAGTTATTAAAGTTTGTTTTCATTTGGACTTTTGGGATGCCCGGTATTAATTAAACCTAACAGCTGTAGTAACCAACGTCATAATATGAGTGCCAATCTTGTTCTACATTTTGCAAAAAATAGTCCCACATATGGTACACAAACGTTTCGATGACTGTTTCTCTTACAAACAGTCTTCGTAATACGTTTCCCCTTCGAAACAAAGTATGCCGCTATAGTCTATAAATTAAAAATCATGCAAAATTATATTAATGACCATATTAAGAACAACGACAGACACTGAAAAAATAATTATAGAATGAGGTTCTTGACCTCATGGATCTTTCTTCTTTTAATGGTTTCAGCGACCCTCATCCCTCACCAAAAGCTAGACGACCGTCCTTGGCAGTTGCTTGTTTAGAGTGATCATCTTCAGGATGACAAACTTCCTCTACATTTCGCATAAGACATACACCACTGCTCATATGATTTGCAGAGTTTTATTACGGTTAGAAAACTTTTTAAAATAATTCTTTACATTTCTCCATGTTCCTATTGTAGGAACATAGGGAAATCCTCTTCGAAAATCCTCTCCGTCATATTCCGGAGTACGTGCATTGGCTTTCCAAAGTACATTAGCTCGTGAGTGAAACAATTCTCTAAATCTTTTCCTAAGGAACTTTGTATCTACAGTGTGAAATAGAGATATAACATAGAAAATACATTTTGAAGAAAATCCCATTACTTTTGGTAGATGCATTCCACTTACCTCATGCAGATACAGCAAACATTCTAATTTCCCACTTGTGCGAAATAGGAACGCACAAATATGTTTTGAAATTAGAGTCTCATATGTGACGGACAAACTATCTTGAGATCTTATGATACGTTAGACTTTTAATCTATATAGGTGGATAGATGTGAATTTCTGCTACATTGTATGACTATCGTGTGTTTCAATATACCTAAAAGCACGATTACCAAAGTCAAAATACGTTTGTGGAAGAATCTCGTGTGTTGTGGTAAATGCGTTCTATTTACCCCATGCAGACACCACAAACGTTCTAATTTCCCACTTGCGGAAAATAAGAACGTTTCCGACTCTCCTCCAGTAAAACTGCTCCTAATCTTTTTGCCGGTGAGATTTCCGATTATTTTTTGCATCATTCGGTGCCTAATACCCTAGTCTACAACTTTCGCACCCTCAAAACTATTTTAAATAGGCTGTTGAATTTATGATTTGTGATGTCTCTTTTTGATTAAACTGTCGTCATACCCTGTTCTTTGTTTTAAAGTTGTTTGTCTGTTTATTTGTTTGTAATATTTTTTAAACTGTATCTCTCTACTGTGTCATGAAAGTGGGCAATAGTCCTGGTCATGTCTTCCGCAATAAATCATCATCAATGTTCAATTTGTAATCATTTAGACGAAAGATGCTCCAACAGCTGTAGATGAACAATCTGCACAGATATTTACAATATGTGTTTTTACCTATCTATAATAGATTCTCAAAGATGAGCATATTTGCAATGAACTTGATCATTTTTCTGGACGATATAGTTAATAATCACGTGGTAAATAGGATGCATATACTGCACAATTGCGAAGATAACTAATCATAAATTATCACATTGTATAAGATGTAGCACATGGTGTAAAGATAAGTTAATCAATCGAGGATCCATCTCATTTTCAAGCTCAACACTCTCGTATGAATATCTGGAATTTGATTTATTTGTTTTTAAAAGATGATTTGTTCAGATCATAAAGATTAACAAGTCAATTATGAATGACCGGAAGATCAGTCGCTGAAACAGTAGAAGAAAACTTAACACAAGGGCTCGAAGAACATGAGAGAGCGATGGTAGGAGTTGTGGTATTTAAAATAACGGATTGTGTTCGAACTCGATTGTACCAGAAAGGAAATCTCATTTATAGTCGAAAAAATGTCTGAAAATATATTTTCTTGTATAGTTTTTACGATTTAGATTGTCTTATCTTCTAAATTAAATTGAATTCAGATTCTGTCTGGTCAGATTTAAGATTTGTCTACTAGTTGAAAAATTCTAGTGTATCTAGTCAAGTTCTAGATGGCTGCTTGATCAGTCAACGTTTCACTCTTAGTGTAGCATAGTTGATCTCTGGTTTTCTGAAATATGGTACTACTATTTGTAGAATATCTTCGTGATTCATTTGAAATGTATCAACTTCTTTCTCCAAAATGAAAAGAGTATAGATCTCTTGATATGCTGGCAAATCATTAAAACACTTAGGACGAAGAGAAAGAAAGCGTTGACTAACACCACCGCATGGAGTAAAAACATAATGAAAAGTTTAAAAATAAATATGATGGAAATCATTGAATAATAACAGTTTTATTAAATTGTTCGCATTGTTGCCCGTAAACACTATTGTGATTTAATATTTTTGAAATATTTTTATCAAATTTGAATTCATTGCTGAAATTTACTGATTTTTTTTGAATGTTCCCCTCTTCGCCAATAAGACTTTTGCCAATTATTGGCGAATGTCCAGGTAATGCATTGACGAAAGTCAAGTAAACTTTTGCCAATTGGCAAGGGTCCACATGACTTTCGGCATTGTCGAAAGTGAAGATGTTGTACTGGCGAGAGTACATGCCACTCGCCATTGACGGAAATGCGATTGGCGAAAGTCATCTTGGCGAAGATACGGCTAGCCATTTTTTTAATTTGAAATATCGGTAGCACAGAGAACGAGGAAAGAACCCACGTAACATTTATTTTGGGAAAATCGCATTCGATTATTGTTCTTACTTCGTTATATATTCTACTGCCTATTCATGCACATATGAATAATCTGAATTTTGCTAACTTAATAAAAAGTTCTGGCTTATTTTGTTAGACAATTTTCTGGCATGATCTATTGTATGTGTATAAACTTCTTTTATAATATTCTACCACTTTTTTATCACAATTACATAATTTGTACGAGCATGAGCCAATATCATTTATAAATTGAACCAAACTCGTGTTTTCATCTATGAATCACGAATAATGGGATAATTTCAGTAAACAACTAAATATACCAGTATTAATCATAGCAAGCATCATGGTTCTTACAACAGAGATCGATAGCATCGACAATAATATCCACTTCGCCCCAATCACACCTTTAAATAAGTGAATTAGTTGACAACAAGTTGCACCAAAAGATTTTCCAGGAATACATAGTAACATTCATAGACGATTGTACAAAAATGATGTCAAGACGTAATGTTTCCGGGATACAGCCACACTATCTATGTTCTTTTGTTAATTAATCCTAACTGATGTAATATTTTATCCATGAGTGTCCACTTATTTTGTCTGTCATATTGACAAATTGCAGCATGATATACAAACATGATATTTATTTAGCAATAATCAACTATAGTTGATTCAGCCGCTTTAAGAGCATACATAGATATACTTTTAAAGCGCCTGAACTTTTTTATTTAAACTTCCGACGTTACAGGATAACAATTTTTGATTTAAAGTAAAGCTGACAATGATTTTGATATAAAAAAATTGTATAAATTGATTTTCAGAATAATTGCATGATATATGACTTTTGTACAGCAAGCAGTGCAAACATTCTTACCTTGAAAAACATAATAGATATTACTGATTGATGGATTATGCGCTTAACTAATAAACTATACTGTGCAAATCATAAAAGAACATGTATTGTATGATTAATCAACCGTTCTTTATAGCTGCGATCGATGATTAATCGCTCTATATGAGCAAGTGTTAAAATTCTATCCTTTTTAGTAATTAAATTCGGAATGATATCTAAACGAGAAATTACTATTAAAAATTTCACAGGTAGTGTGTGAGTGGTCACCTTAGACATATTCAATTCGGCCTTCTTCTACATAACATGCTAACTCTCTTATAGTATCTGAAGATGAATTGTTAATTTGTAGTGAATATTCATATGATAAGCTTCTCAACTCAGTATGTTGATGCCAATGCTTACTTTGCTTATTATACACCTAATACATCCTCATATGATTCAAGATAGTTCGTACATAAAAACGAAAAAGGTATATTATTTGATGATAGTAATAACAATTTTTTTCTATCAGAAAGGTAAGATGTTTTGCTATGCTTGACTACCTTAGAAAAAAATTAAAAAGAAATAAATGATCTTTTTTGTTTTTGTTCGTATAATATGATACATCGTGCGAATCAATAACACGCGCACTAGTTGAACAAGTATTTTTCATGTAAAATGACGGAACCTAATAATAATAAAAATAACAATGCTGATTTACAACCGCCACCTCCTCCATATCTTAGTGCTGTTTATAAAATAGAGGATATTTACTCTAGACATGGATACGATGCACCGCCACCATCTTATATCGAACAATATCCATATATCGACCAACATTCAAATTATCCTGGACCACCTGATAATCAAATACCAGGTACAAATACTAACATTATTACACTCTCTCTGCCACCTCCTTCAATGTCAGTTCCAGCAATGAAAAAATTGCGAATGTACTTAGCTGTTAATGGTATTATTACGGTTCTTTTCGGAATTACGGCAATTGGTTTACAAATTGGGTTATTAGCTTCTAATGTTATCGTGTATTATTATTATGGATTTTGGGCTGGTGCTTTAGTACTTGGCGTTGGTTTTAGTACTTTAGCAATGATTAGTCGTACACGAACAATAGTCCCTGAAAAACTATTTAGTGCTTTTGTATGGCAAATGGTATTTGTGGCAGTTGTATTTGCATTTGCCATTATGATTGTTGCAACAGACATGTGTAGATCGGATAAGAACATTAATGACACGGTTTATTCATGTAAAAAATCTTCGAAAATAATAAATGGCTTATTGATTACAGTATTTGCTTTAACTCTATTACAAGCAATAATAAACACAGTCGTGGCCAGATTCATTAAACGAAAAGCACAATTAAATGCTGCACACATAATATTACAAAATTCACGACAAACATAAAATAGACAGCCGCCAAATTTCTATCTAACCCACCTATAGAATTATTTTATACTTACTCCTACCAATGAACTGGTAAAATGGCTAGCATAAAATAAAATTTAAATTTAGAAAAACAATCTGATCCGTTAAACAATCGTAAAAATTAACTTTCAACGTTCAGCCGGTTAAGGAAGTTTAAATCTTTCTGCTTTAGTGCAAACTACCACTATTTTCATTTAAGGATTACAAAACACTTAATATATGTTATTGAAAATACATATTGGTTGTAGCATTTATTTAATAACCTTTACGTGGAAAATTGAAATATATTCAATACTATAAGCTAACATTTATAATAATATATAGGTTGTGCATCTGGTCTTGATAATGATTCTATTGAATATAATTACCATATCAATTGCTACACTTTCTTTATACATAATTATACTGTAAAAATGACTCAAGCTTCTTGCTAACAATAGTTGCTTTCTACAATATTCCACACTAAATCATATCAAGGAGTTTGTTCGTCGGATCAATTCCAAAAGGGTGATTGTGTTAACTTTTTTTCGTCTACTAACAGAAAGTGCTTGTTAGATCAATATCAATATTATTGTATCATTTTATTGAATTTACATACAGGACTAGCAGTGTTCAATAGCATAATTTGTCTAATTCTTTCCGTTTTTGTCTTTTTTTTAAACAGAAAGTTCTATCAGTGCTGGGTTTTATCTAAAATAAAAGACTATGATCTTCTATTATGAGAGGCGGTTTATATAATATAAGTTACTGATAAGCGAAATTTCAAGATTAGCCCAGGGGTAAAAAAATTGACAAAAAAACGCGTTTTTTTTTCGTTTTTAACGACCAAAAAACGCGTTAAAGGTTTCAAAACCAACGCGTTTCTTTTTGTCGTT